ACATTTTCATACATAACCAAACAAGAAAATGCTCATCCAGAGGCGGCGCTCCTAGTGGCCGGTGATTTTAATGCAGGAAAACTGAAATCCGTTTGATCTAATTTCTACCAGCATGTCACCTGTGCAACTAGAGGGATAACAACTGTAGATCACCTTTACTCCACACACAGAGACACATACAAAGCTCTCCCCCACCCTCCATATGGCAAATCTGACCATAACTATATCCTCCTGATTCCTGCTTGCAAGCAAAAACTCAAACAGGAAGTACCATTGACGCACTCAATACAGAAGTGGGTCCGATGAAGCGGTGCTAAGATACAGGACTGTTTCGCTAGCAGACTGGAATATGTTCTGGGATTAATCCGATGGCATTGAGGAGTTTACCACATCAGTCACCGGCTTCATTAATAAGTGCATCGAAGACGTTGTCCCCCCACTGACCGTACGTACATATCCCAACCAGAAGCCATGGACTACAGGCAACATCCGCACTGAGCTAATGGCTAGAGCTGCCACTTTTAAGGAACAGGACTCTAATCCGGACGCATATAAGAATTCCCGCTTTGCCCTCCGACGAACCATCAAACTGGCAAAGCGTCTATACAGGACTCAGATCGAATCCTACTACACCGACTCTGACGCTCGTCAGATGTGGCAGGGCTTGCAAACTATCACGGTTTACAAAGGGAAATCCAGCCGAGAGCTACCCAGTGACGCGAGCCTACCAAATTAGCTAAATGCCTTCTATGCTCGCTTCGAGGCAAGCAACAAGTAAGTAAGATATTTAAACAGGTTAACATACACAAGGCCGCAGGGCCAGACGGATTACCAGGATGCGTGCTCAGAGCATGCTCTGACCAGCTGGCAAGTGTCTTCACTGACATTTTCAACCTCTCCCTGACCCAGTCTGTAATACCTACATGTTTCAAGAAAACCACCATAGTCCCTGTGCCTGAGAATGCCAAGGTAACCTGTCTAAATGAATACCGCCCCGTAGCACTCACATCTGTAGCCATGAAATGCTTTGAAGGCTGGTCATGGCTCACATCAACACCATCATCCCAGAAACCCTGGACCCACTCCAATTCGCATACGCCCGAACAGATCCACAGATGAAGCAATCTCTATTGCACCGCACACTGCCTTTTCCCACCTGGACAAAAGGAACACCTACGTGAGAATGCTGTTCATTGACTACAGCTCAGCGTTCAACACCATAGTGCCCTCCAAGCTCATCACCAAGTTAAGGACCCTGGGACTGAACACCTCCCTCTGTAACTGGATCCTGGACATCCTGACTGGCCGCCCCCAGGTGGTGAGGGTAGGCAACATCACCTCCGCCACGCTGACCCTCAACACCGGGGCCCCTCAGGGGTGTGTGCTCAGTCCCCTCCTGTACTCCCTGTTCACCCATGACTGCACAACTCCAACACCATCATTAAGTTTGCCAACTACACGACGGTGGTAGGCCTGATCACTGACAATGATGAGACAGCCTATAGGGAGGAGATCAGAGACGTGGCAGTGTGGTGCCAGGAGCCCCTCAGAGCCTGTGCCAGGTGCCCCTCAGTGTGGTGCCCCTCATAGCCTGAGTCCTCTCTAGGGTTCTTCCTAGGTTCCTGCCTTTCCACTGTGAATCTACATCTGCTTGCTGTTTGGGGTTTTAGGCTCGGTTTCTGTATAAGTACATTGTGACAACTGCTGATGTAAAAAGGGCTTTATAAATACATTTGATTGATTGATGGTGCCAGGCCAACAACCTGTCCCTCAACATGGGCAAGACAACGGAGCTGATTGTTGACTACAGGAAACGGAGGACGGAACACGCCCCCATTCACATCGTCGGGGATGTAGTAGACTGGGTCGAGAGCTTCAAGTTCATCGGCGTCCACGTCACTAAGGACCTATCATGGTCCAAACACACCAACACAGCCTTGAAGAGGGTACGACAACGCCTCTTCCCCCTCAGGAGGCTGAAAAGATTTGGCATGGGCCCTCAGGTCCTCAAAAAGTTATACAGCTGCACCATTGAGGGCATCTTGACTGGCTGCATCACCGCTTGGTATGGAAACTGCTCGGCATTCGACCGCAAGCCGCTACAGAGGTTAGTGTGTATGGCCCAGTACATCACTGGGGCAGAACTCCCTGCCATCCAGGACCTCTATACCAGGCGGTGTGAGAGGAAGGCCCACATTTTTTTCAAAGACTCCAACCACCCAAGTCCAAGCTGTTCTCTCTGCTACCGCACGGCAAGCGGTACTGGAACGAAAAGTTTGTGACCAAAAGGCTCCTGAACAGCTTCTACCCCCAAGCCATAAGACTGCTGAACAGTTAATCAAATGGCTACCCACACACACTACATACAGTGCATTCGGAAAGTATTAAGACCTGTTGACTTTTTCCACATTTTGTTACATTACAGCCTTATTCTAAAATTGATTAAATTTAGTTTTTTTCATCATCAAACATCTCAAGGATGATTGATGGAAACATGATACACCTGAGCTCAATTTCGAGTTTCATAGCAAAGGGTCTGAATACTTATGTAAATAAGGTATATACGCTACTGGTCAAAGGTTTTAGAACACCTACTCATTCAAGGGTTTTTTCTTTATTTTGACTATTTTCTACATTGTAGAATAATAGTGAAGACATCAAAACTATGAAATAACACATATGGAATCATGTAGAAAATTAAAAAAAGTGTTAAACAAATTCTTCAAATAGCCACCCTTTGCCTTGATGACAGCTTTGCACACTCTTGGCATTCTCTCAACCAGCTTCATGAGGTAGTCTCCTGGAATGCATTTCAATTAACAGGTGTGCCTTCTTAAAAGTTAATTTGTGGAATTTCTTTCCTTCTTAATGCGTTTGAGCCAATCAGTTGTATTGTGACAAGGTAGGGGGGTATACAGAAGATAGCCCTATTTGGTAAAAGACCAAGTCCATATTATGGCAAGAACAGCTCAAATAAGAAAAGAGAAACGACAGTCCATCATTACTTTAAGACATGAAGGTCAGTCAATACGGAACTTTTTAAGAACTTTGAAAGTTTCTTCAAGTGCAGTCGCAAAAACCATCAAGCGCTATGATGAAACTGGGTCTCAAGAGGACCGCCACAGGAATGGAAGACCCAGAGTTACCAGCCTCAGAAATTGCAGCCCAAATAAATGCTTCACAGAGTTCAAGTAACAGACACATCTCAACATCAACTGTTCAGAGGAGACTGTGTGAATCAGGCCTTCATGGTCGAATTGCTGCAAAGAAACCACTACTAAAGGATGCCAATAAGAAGAAGAGACTTGCTTGGGCAAAGAAACACGAGCAATGGAAATGTGTCCTTTAGTCTGGAGTTCAAATTGGAGATTTTTGGTTCCAACTGCTGTGGCTTTGTGAGATGCGGTGTGGGTGAACGGATGATCTCTGCATGTGTATTTCCCACCGTAAAGCATGGAGGAGGAGGTGTGATGGTGTGGGGGTGCTTTGCTGGTGACACTCTCTGTGATGTATTTAGAATTCAAGGCACACTTAACCAGCATGTCTACCACAGCATTCTGCAGCGATACACCATCCCATCTGGTTTGGGCTTAGTGGGACTATCATTTGTTTTTAACAGGACAATGACCCAACACACCTCCAGGCTGTGTAAGGGCTATTTGACCAAGAAGGATAATGATGGAGTGCTGCATCAGATGACCTGGCCTCCACAATCCCCATGACCTCAAACAAATTGAGATGGTTTGGGATGAGTCGGACCGCAGAGGGAAGGAAAAGCAGCCAACAAGTGCTCAGTTGAAGTCGCAAGTTTACATACACTTAGGTTGGAGTCATTAAAACTTGTTTTTCAACCACTCCACAAATTTCTTGTTAACAAACTATCATTTTGGCAAGTCGGTTACGACATCTACTTTGTGCATGACACAAGTAATTTTTCCAACAATTATTTTACTTATGGTTCACTGTATCACAATTCCAGTGGGTCTGAAGTTTACATACACTAAGTTGACTGTGCCTTTAAACAGCTTGGAAAATTCCAGAAAATAATGTCATGGCTTTAGAAGTTTCTGATAGGCTAATTGACATCATTTCAGTCAACTGGAGGTGTACCTGTGGATGTATTTCAAGGCCTACCTTCAAACTCAGTGCCTCTTTGCTTGACATCATGGGAAAATCAAAAGAAATAAGCCAAGACCTCAGAAAAAAAATGGTAGACCTCCACAAGTCTGGTTCATCCTTGGGAGCAATTTCCAAACGCCTGAAGGTACCACGTTCATCTGTACAAACAATAGTATGCAAGTATAAACACCATGGGACCACGCAGTCATCATACCGCTCAGGAAGGAGACGCGTTCTGTCTCCTAGAGATGAACGTACTTTGGTGCGAAAAGTGCAAATCAATCCCAGAACAACAGCAAAGGACCTTGTGAAGATGCTGGAGGAAACAGGTACAAAATTATCTATATCCACAGTAAACTAAGTCCTATATCGACATAACCTGAAACGCCGCTCAACAAGGAAGAAGCAACTGCTCCAAAACCGCCATAAAAAAGCCAGACTATGGTTTGCAACTGCACATGGGAACAAAGATCATACTTTTTGGAGAAATGTCCTCTGGTCTGATGAAACAAAAATAAAACTGTTTGGCCACAATGACCATCTTTACGTTTGGTGGAAAAAGGGGGTGGCTTGCAAGCCGAAGAACACCATCCCAACCGTGAAGCACAGGGGGGGCAGCATCATGCTGTGGGGGTGCTTTGCTGCAGGAGGGACTGGTGCACTTCACAAAATTGATGGCATCATGAGGAAGGACAATTATGTGGATATATTGAAGCAACATCTCAAGATCAGTCAGGAAGTTCAAGCTTGGTCGCAAATGGGTCTTCCAAATGGACAATGACCCCAAGCATACTTCCAAAGTTGTGGCAAATTGGCTTAAGGACAACAAAGTCAAGGTATTGGAGTGGCCATCACAAAGCCCTGACCTCACTGTACACTCAGACAAACAAAACACACACACACACATGCATATTGACGCCACACACACACACACACACACATACATGCACTTTCACATATGCTGCTGCTACTCTGTTTGTTAAATATCCTGATTTTCTAGTCACTTTTACCCCGACCCACATGTACATGCTGTATTACCTCAATTACCTCAACTACCTTGTACCCCTGCACATTGACTCGGTACTGGTACTCCTTGTATGTAGCCTCATTAATACCCTGTATCCCTGCACATTGACTCGGTACTGGTACTCCTTGTATATAGCCTCATTACTACACCGTATCCCTGCACATTGACTCGGTACTGGTACTCCTTGTATATAGCCACGGGGGGCCAGTATGAAAAAAATATATATGTATGCACTCACTAACTGTAAGTCGCTCTGGATAAGAGCATCTGCTAAATGACTAAAATGTAAAATGTAAATAGTCTCATTACTACACCGTATCCCTGCACATTGACTCGGTACTGGTATATATAATCTATCTCCTTTTTTATTTAGCAAATATTTGTCTTTCTTTTTAAATAAGCGTATCACCTGTTGCATTCGGTGCATGTGACATTAACATTTGATTTGATAGTAGGAAAGTCAGAATTTGAAATGACACCAGAGATACAAAACTAAACTGTTGCATGATATAGCACCATATAGCACCAATGATATAGCACCATATAGCACCACTGATATAGCACCATATAGCACCACTGATATAGCACCACTTATATAGCACCATATAGCACCACTGATATAGCACCATATAGCACCATATAGCACCACTGATATAGCACCACTGATATAGCACCACTGATATAGCACCATATAGCAGCATATAGCACCACTGATATAGCACCATATAGCACCACTGATATAGCACCATATAGCAGCATATAGCACCACTGAAATAGCACCACTGATATAGCACCACTGATATAGCACCATATAGCACCATATAGCACCACTGAAATAGCACCATATAGCACCACTGATATAGCACCATATAGCACCATATAGCACCACTGAAATAGCACCACTGATATAGCACCACTGATATAGCACCATATAGCACCATATAGCACCACTGATATAGCACCATATAGCACAACTGATATAGCACCATATAGCACCATATAGCACCACTGAAATAGCACCACTGATATAGCACCATATAGCACCACTGATATAGCACCATATAGCACCATATAGCACCACTGATATAGCACCATATAGCACCATATAGCACCACTGATATAGCACCATATAGCACCACTGATATAGCACCATATAGCACCATATAGCACCACTGATATAGCACCACTGATATAGCACCATATAGCACCACTGATATAGCACCATATAGCACCACTGATATAGCACCATATAGCACCACTGATATAGCACCATATAGCACCACTGTAGTCCCGTGTAGCTCAGTTGGTAGAGCATGGCGTTTTCAACGCCATGGTTGTGGGTTCGATTACCACGGGGGGCCCAAGTATGAAAATGTATGCACTCACTAACTGTAATTCGCTCTGGATAAGAGCATCTGCTAAATGACTAAAATGTAAATATAGCACCACTGATATATCAACATATAGCACCATGTTGATCTATTTCTCGTTCTTTACCACGTAACCATAGTCCCCGTCGTCCCATAACATACAGTCACCACGTCACAGTGTACTTGGACAGTTTTCTAGTTTTCTATCTGAGGTTTCTTCTTACCGATTTAGCTAGCTGCTGAGGGTAATATTAGAAGCACACACAGTAACAAATGATTTGTTTACTTGAAATGTATTTATTCCGTAATTATCTTTTGTCCATTTTAGACTGAAACAGAAAGACGGAAAGGCAGAAAACCTCCTCGCCTCACCTCTGTACATCCGTGGGAGTTTCTGTTTCAGCAGCTGTTCAGCTCAGAGTTGGTTAGCTCTTAGCATCCTCAGGGAGCCATTCAATATGTATGAAATTTCTAACTACTGCAGAAACATTACCTCAGGCTTTTGTGCTTTAAATGGTTGAACAAAAGCCAGAGATTCTCAGGCAGGCAGAATTAAAATGCTCTCTTTATATTAAAAGTACTCTAGTTGGAGATGTAGAGTTGCGTTTGGGAGGAGCAGTCTTACACACACGCAAACCCACAAACACACACGCACACGCACACACACAAACACACACACACACACACAGTGGGAGAGGAATTGGGTGGAGGTGTTTTAGTGATAGCATAACGCCTTAGTGTCTGCAGTAGTGGATGAAGTCGCTGCAGGGCTCAGCTACATTATTTATCCCATGCTGGCAGCATAATGCCTTAGTGTCTGCAGTAGTGGATGAAGTCGCTGCAGGGCTCAGCTACATTATTTATCCCATGCTGGCAGCATAATGCCTTAGTGTCTGTAGTAGTGGAGGAAGTCGCTGCAGGGCTCAGCTACATTATTTATCCCATGCTGGCAGCATAATGCCTTAGTGTCTGTAGTAGTGGATGAAGTCGCTGCAGGGCTCAGCTACATTATTTATCCCATGCTGGCAGCATAATGCCTTAGTGTCTGTAGTAGTGGAGGAAGTCGCTGCAGGGCTCAGATACATTATTTATCCCATGCTGGCAGCATAATGCCTTAGTGTCTGTAGTAGTGGATGAAGTCGCTGCAGGGCTCAGCTACATTATTTATCCCATGCTGGCAGCATAATGCCTTAGTGTCTGTAGTAGTGGAGGAAGTCGCTGCAGGGCTCAGCTACATTATTTATCCCATGCTGGCAGCATAATGCCTTAGTGTCTGTAGTAGTGGAGGAAGTCGCTGCAGGGCTCAGCTACATTATTTATCCCATGCTGGCAGCATAATGCCTTAGTGTCTGTAGTAGTGGATGAAGTCGCTGCAGGGCTCAGCTACATTATTTATCCCATGCTGGCAGCATAATGCCTTAGTGTCTGTAGTAGTGGAGGAAGTCGCTGCAGGGCTCAGATACATTATTTATCCCATGCTGGCAGCATAATGCCTTAGTGTCTGTAGTAGTGGATGAAGTCGCTGCAGGGCTCAGCTACATTATTTATCCCATGCTGGCAGCATAATGCCTTAGTGTCTGTAGTAGTGGATGAAGTCGCTGCAGGGCTCAGCTACATTATTTATCCCATGCTGGCAGCATAATGCCTTAGTGTCTGTAGTAGTGGAGGAAGTCGCTGCAGGGCTCAGCTACATTATTTATCCCATGCTGGCAGCATAATGCCTTAGTGTCTGTAGTAGTGGAGGAAGTCGCTGCAGGGCTCAGCTACATTATTTATCCCATGCTGGCAGCATAATGCCTTAGTGTCTGTAGTAGTGGATGAAGTCGCTGCAGGGCTCAGCTACATTATTTATCCCATGCTGGCAGCATAATGCCTTAGTGTCTGTAGTAGTGGAGGAAGTCGCTGCAGGGCTCAGATACATTATTTATCCCATGCTGGCAGCATAATGCCTTAGTGTCTGTAGTAGTGGATGAAGTCGCTGCAGGGCTCAGCTACATTATTTATCCCATGCTGGCAGCATAATGCCTTAGTGTCTGTAGTAGTGGATGAAGTCGCTGCAGGGCTCAGCTACATTATTTATCCCATGCTGGCAGCATAATGCCTTAGTGTCTGTAGTAGTGGAGGAAGTCGCTGCAGGGCTCAGCTACATTATTTATCCCATGCTGGCAGCATAATGCCTTAGTGTCTGTAGTAGTGGAGGAAGTCGCTGCAGGGCTCAGCTACATTATTTATCCCATGCTGGCAGCATAATGCCTTAGTGTCTGTAGTAGTGGAGGAAGTCGCTGCAGGGCTCAGCTACATTATTTATCCCATGCTGGCAGCATAATGCCTTAGTGTCTGTAGTAGTGGAGGAAGTCGCTGCAGGGCTCAGATACATTATTTATCCATGCTGGCACCATCTGGCCATTTGCTGCCAGAAAAAGGGCAATTATGCTTTCCAAGGTCCTCCTCTCCTCTTCCCCTCGCTGGAGTACTGTACACTGACCTCCACATCAGAGGCCATTTAAAAACGAATTATTAAACATGTACTGACAATAAAATATTCTAACATCTTTAAACATTAGTAGCCTCTCATTAGTATATGTTTACATTTTATTTCATCTTCTGAAAATCATATGGTCTACTGGGAAGGGCTCAGGGTCTTTTAATGAGGATTTGTTGCTTTTTCAATTGTACACTTGATATTTCTTAACTTGTTTTCTTGTATGAATAAATCATGAAAATGAAGTGAATTTGTCTTGTCTGTTGTCCCCCTGCATTCTCGGTTGGATCAGCACTGAACAGAAAATGGCCAATAAATGCATACTATTCTTATTTCTCTCTCTCCTCTCTCTCTCTCTCTCTCATCGCTCTCTCTCTCTCTCTCTCTCTCTCTCTCTCTATCTTCTATATCCTCTCTCTATCTCTCTCTCCTCTCTTTCTTGGGATCTTCCCCTCTCTCTCTCATCTCTTCTCTCTCTCTCATCTCTTTGCTTCTCTCTCGTCTCTCTCTTCTTTCTCTCGTACTCTCTCTCTCTCTCGTCTCTCTCTTTCTCTCTCGTCTCTCTCTCGGTGATAATTCTTCTTCTCCTCTAGGTCTGATAATCTCTCTTGTCTTCTCTCCTCAGGTCTGATTAATCTCTCTCTCGTCTTCTCCTCCTCAGGTCTGATAATCTCTCTCTCTCTTCTCCTCCTCAGGTCTGATAATCTCTCTCTTCTCCTCCTCAGGTCTGATAATCTCTCTCTGTCTTCTCCTCCTCAGGTCTGATAATCTCTCTCGTTTCTCCTCCTCTGGTCTGAGAATCTCTCTCTCTGTCTTCTCCTCCCGTCTAAATCTCTCTCTCTGTCTTCTCCTCCTCTGGTCTGATAATCTCTCTCTCTCTCTTCTCCTCCTCTGGTCTGATAATCTCTCTCTGTCTTCTCCTCCTCAGGTCTGATAATCTCTCTCTGTCTTCTCCTCCTCAGGTCTGATAATCTCTCTCTGTCTTCTCCTCCTCAGGTCTGAGAATCTCTCTCTCTGTCTTCTCTCCTCAGGTCTGATAATCCTCTCTGGTCTTCTCTCCTCAGGTCTGAGAATCTCTCTCCGCTTCTCTCTCGGTACTGAAAATCTCTTGGCTGCTGTCTCCTCCGGTCTGATAATCCCTGTCTTCTCCTCCTCAGGTCTGATAATCTCTCTCTGTCTTCTTCTCCTCAGGTCTGATAATCTCTCTCTCGTCTTCTCCTCAGGTCTGATAATCTCTCTCTGTCTTCTCTCCTCAGGTCTGATAATCTCTCTGTCTTCTCCTCCTCAGGTCTGATAATCTCTCTCTGTCTTCTTCTCCTCAGGTCTGATAATCTCTCGCTCTCTTCTCCTCCTCTGGTCTGATAAACTCTCTCTCTCTGTCTTCTCCTCCTCAGGTCTGATAATCTCTCTCTGTCTTCTTCTCCTCAGGTCTGATAATCTCTCCTCTCTCTGTCCTCTCCTCCCTCCTCAGGTCTGATAATCTCTCTCCAGCTGTTGCGAGGAGAGATGGAACAAATAAGGAGAGAGAACCCTATGATCTTCAATAGGGGCGTGGCCATGACACGCAAGCTGGGCTTCCCCGATGTCATCATGCCAGGTGAGAGCTGGACTGGGCTACTGACTGAGTTTTTCACATGATATTGGATGCCTCCCAATAATATCTCCTTTCTCCTGAAGTGTACACTCGTTCACAACCACCCACACATCTAAAGGCATTGTATTGGTGGAGGCATGGGCTAGAGGGAGCTTCCATCATATTTTTTATACCATTCATTTCCTTTCAAATCAGTAAAGGGAAGTGAACCCGTGTACACTTCAAGAGAAAGGAGAGATTGTTTCCATGCAGTAGTTGGTATTTCTGGCTGAAGTAAGGCTTGAATGTGTGTGGATGGGCTGGTGTATTTGACCGTGTAGGCTACACAGTACTGCAGACCTGTCTTTGCTCTGCTTTGCCCTGTTCTTAATGAAATGCTATGACAGCAGTCTGCTTCTAAAGCCTAGCAACACGGTTCCAACAAAGTGACAGAGTCACTCCCCTCTTTCTGTCTGTCTGTCTGTCTGTCTGTCTGTCTGTCTGTCTGTCTGTCTGTCTGTCTGTCTGTCTGTCTGTCTGTCTGTCTGTCTGTCTGTCTGTCTGTCTGTCTGTCTGTCTGTCTGTCTGTTTTGTCTTTCTGTCTGTCTGTCTGTCTGTCTGTCTGTCTGTCTGTCTGTCTCTCTGTCTCTCTGTCTGTCTGTCTACACCATTGTGGTCCACATTCTTCTAGTCTACTTAATGATTGATGTCATGTTCACTTTCCCCCCAAATCAATATTCCACTCAGCTTCTAAATCCTCATTCCGTTATCCGTCACCATTCTCATCTCAGCCCAAGTTAGTTTGTTTGTGAATAGACTAGCTCCAGCTCATCTTTATCATTTAAAAGAAGGATCTGCTTCCCAGCTCTCCTTATTGTGTTACATTCAGGTCCTACTGCATTTTAAAAATGTTTATTTGATTTAACTAGGCAAGTCAGTTATGAACAAATTCTTATTTACAATGACAGCCTACACCGGGCCAATTGTGCGCCGCCCTATGGGACTCCCAATCACGGACAGTTGTGATACAGCCTGGAATCGAACCAGGGGGTCTGTAGTGATGCCTCTAGTACTGAGATGCAGTGCCTTAGACCGCTGCGCTACTCGGGAGCCCAATCATTCACGTGCAAAGCTAATCAGTTCAAATCCATGTTGAAGTGAAATGCCAATAGATCAATTAGTCTGGGTGACCGATGGGTCCGAGAGATCGTATTTATAGATGTGTTTATTTCTCCACAGGATTGATGGTGGCAAGTAGCAGAACTGGGTTCAAATGGTATTTGAAATAATTTCAAATACTTTATCTGTGATTTATTGAGCTTCCCTGATTTAATAGAACTAATGGAAACTACAAACCCTGTCTATCTGGCACTCCAGGCAGGCTAAATCAAATACTCAAAGTATTAGAAAGATTGTCAAATAGTATTTGGCCCCAGGTCTGAGTAGTACAGATGTAGGATCTTAATTTGAGAGAGTTTGCTACAGCAGGAAAGTAATCCTACAACAACAGGAAATGTGAATTATTACGTGGATTATAATTACGAAAATGTTGTAGGTTTTGATACACGCAGTGGTGTAAAGTGCTTAAGTAAAATTACTTTAAAGTACTACTTAAGTAATTTTTTGGGGGTATCTGTAATTTACTATTTATATTTTTGACAACTTTTACTTCACTACATTCCTTACTCCATACATTTTCCTGACACCCAAAGTACTTGTTACATTTTGAATGCTTAGCAGGACAGAAAATGGGTCGCAATTCCACGCATTATATCAAGATAATGTCGCCTTGGTCATTTCTACTACTGCCTCTGACGCCACTCAAAAGTAAAGGTTTATCTTAATAGAAAAAGACCCTCAAGTAAAGTGAGTGGCACCTAGTAAAAAATACTTGAGTAAAAATCTAAAGTATTTTGGTTTTTCAATATACGTTAGGTATCAAAAGATAAAAGTATAAATCATTTCAAATTCCTTATATTAAGCAAACCAGACGGCACCATTTTCTTGTTTTTTAAATGTATTACGGATAGCCAGGGGCACACTCCAACACTCAGACAGCCTTTACAAACAAAGCATGTGTGTAAAGGCTGTCTGAGTGTTGGAGTGTGCCCCTGGCTATCCGTAAATACATTTAAAAAACAAGAAAATGGTGCCGTCTGGTTTGCTTAATATAAGGAATTGGAAATGATTTATACTTTTACTTTTGATACATAAGTATATTTAAAACCAAATACATTTAGATTTTTACTCAAGTATTTTTTACTAGGTGACTCACTTTTACTTGAGTCTTTTTCTATTAAGATAACCTTTACTTTCATAATAAGGGAAAATCAATTTTGAAATGTCAAAGTAAAAATTACAAACTTCAAAAGCCTTTTAAATGTTCCTGTAACAAGGTGATCAAATTAAGATCCTACATATGTAGTAGTGTTCGGCTGACTCAATCCAAATAATGAAATCATTTCCCTCTGAGGGTCTTAGCCCCAAATGAGGGAACACAAACCAGTGCCATTATTTATGTGGCTGGCTGGCTTGGCTATAGTGGAGACAAGTTAACCAGTTAAACTCTGAGCGCTTGTTTTGGGCCCTGTACAGGGTCCGTTGCGCTTAGCTATAGTGGAGACAAGTTCACGAGAGCACTGTATCATGCTACATACTACAAGCTAGCTATGGTTAAATTTAGCATGGCTTAACTTAATTGGTCAAGTATAGTCTCCTTCAACAGTTTCTGTGTCTATCATCATTCCAATAGACTTATATGATGAGATATCAGGAAAGTGTCATTGAGACACAGTCTCGTTTACAAGGGAGACCTGGCCAGAAGGCAGCAGTAGTCAGTACAACATTACAACATTATAGAGCAGTGGTCACTAACCGGTCGATCGCAATCCACTGGTCGATCTTCAAGGCATTCCTAGTCGATCACCAAACATTTCTGTAAAAAACCCAACGATAAAGCCTTGCGCTCATATTTATTTATTTATTTGTTTGGCGCTGTTGGTGGTAAGTGCACTTGATACGGCAGCCCTAGTGCCGGGAAGGCAAAGTGTTCCCATTTTGAACCATTTCAGGTGTCTGCAGGCCCAGAGAGCAAATCAAGTGCACTTATAGGCCTACTGATGGCCAATCAGATAGCTCAGATCACCGTGTCTGCACAGTTTCCTCACCGTAGACTGTAAAAAGAAGCCTCGAACGCACAGCAAAGTTGAACATATGAGATTTCAAAACTTTGAAAACCATGACTAGAGAGAGACTCAACAAATACAGCAAAGAGCTGCTGTTTTTATTAGTAAGTTTAAGTTGTTATTCTGCACTGTCAACACTTTGTTCAACATTTTTATGAGCCATAAAATGTGCGTTCTCCCTACTTCCACTCACGATACAACCAGCACTGCAGCTGCAGTGAAATAGGATAGCAAAGTGTTTCAATAAGCTTGTGTTGTTATTAATAGCGGCTTCTTTTTTTTATATCAAGGAATATTTCACTTTCTCTGGTCATAGGAGTAACAACATGAATTGGTGCATGAGGCAGAAATAATGCAGTGCAACTTGAGTTTCGCCATCAGCTGGAAGACTGTGTCCCCATTTCTCAGCGGAAGGACAGTGAGTCAGGCGAGAGGCTGCTCCCTCCCCTCAGACTTTTTTAAAGCCAATTATTTGCTACATCAGTGTCCACAAGATAAAACAAATGATTAAAAGGCTTCTATGCCAAAAGTGAAATAAAAGTTGACATTGTTCCCCCCTCCTAACACCCGAGACGGGAAGTTGGTAAAGTCAACTAACCATGACTCAGGACTCCATACGCAAGGCCGTTTTTTCCCCCCAAGGGCAACCCACTGTCAACTTTTAGAGCCCATAATGTCGCTCCTCTCCCACGATCACCACATGCCTGCATGAAGGCCAAAGCAGTGTTTCATCTTGTTTTTAGAGCCGGCTTCTTTATCAGATATTCACTTCTCTCCATGGCCAGAGCGGCCGAGCACGAAAGCGGCACGAGTCGGCCGCAGCTAGAGCGGCCCGGCCAGCGGGCCGCCGCAGGGCGAGAAAGGGCCGCCCCAACCGCACAAGGCCCGCCCCCTAGGCCGCAATACCTGGGCGCAGTGGGGGGCAAGGAAGGGCAGCACATGTCGGCAGTCCGGCCCCGCAGCCCTACGAGGCGGGCGACAGGGCGACAACGGCCGCCTCCCGACGCCCCGCCCCCCAGTCCGCGCACGAGCCCGGCCTCCCGGCCGCACACCGCCCCGCAGCCCCACCTCCCCGACCCGCGAGGCGCCCTCAACCGCCGACCCTTCGCGCGCTCCTCCATCGGCACGCAACCCCAGAGGCCAGGTCCTCAGGCCTGCCCCTCACACCCCCCCGGAGCAGGCCCCAATCCCCCGGTCACTTCCTGCTGTTCGCGACCATTGCCTGCCGAGCCCAGCATTCCCGGGGCCCACCGCCTTCCCCACACGGCCGTGTCCATCCCCAGAAGCGGGCCGAGGCGCCCTCCTCACGCCACCCCCTTTCACTCAGACCCCCAAGAAACCTCACGGTGCCCCACCGCCAAACCCTCACAGAGCCGCCCCCGACCACGCCGACGACGGCGCGGTCGTGCCGCCGGAGCGCCCGCCACTCCCAGCCGGCCGCGACCAGCCGCGACGAGGCCGCGGCCCACGAGGCGCGACGGCCCACAGGGCCCCACGCGACGCGGCCGCCACAGGCCCGCCACACCCCGCGCAGAACGCTGCCGCGCCAGCCCCGTGCAGCGCCGCGACGCCGCGCACGCGGCCGCGCCGCGCCCGCACGCACCGCCAGGCCGCACGCACGCGCCCGCAGCGCGGCCGACCCGCAGGCTCGCACGAGGGCCCGCCCGGCCGCCCCAGCCCGCCGCAGCGCCGCACGACGCGGCCGCCAGCAGGCCGCGCAGGGCCCCGGCCCAGCAGCCGCGCACACGAGTCGGCCCCAGTCCGCTCCGAACATGCCGCGCAGCCTCCCGCACGACGCCCGCTCACGGGCCGCGCCGAGTCGTCCCACATCCTCCGCCAAATTCCTACGCACCCATCCCGGCCGTCATCCTGACTCCCAG